GACGAACTCGTAATGGTCGTAACGAGTCCTGAAAGCGGTCTTAGCGATATCTGATTCTTTAATCTTCAGCTGGTGGTAGCCTGATCGTAAATCAATCTTTGAAAACACACAGGCTCCCCTCAACTAATCAAATAAGTCATCGATCCTGGGAAGCGGATACTTGTTCTTGATCGTCAACCGGTTCAGATCCCAGTAGTCGATACACATGCGCATGGATCTGTTCTTCTTCTTGACAAAAAGAATGGGTGCTCCCCAAGGTGACACGCTCAGTCGGATGAAACCGAGTCGTAATAGCTCCTGAATCTGCGCCTTAAGCTCCTGCAACTCCTTCGGCGCCATACGATATGGGGCCTTGGATACTGGGCCGGCTCCTGGAATAAGATCAATAGAGAACTCCACCTGCCGGTTAGGCGGTCCTCCTGGAAGCTCGTCTGGGAACACGTCCACAAACTCACGAACAAGTGGGACATCGTGAGGTAATCGTGCTTTCTGAGAATCATCGACAAGGCTCACCAGATAACCCTGGCAGTTGCCTCGTCGCAGCAACTTGGTAGCTTTCGCCATAGAGAAGACATGAGGTAATGAACGATTCTTGCTGCCAAAGAAGGTAATCGAATCGTCTCCTGGAAGATAGAGAGTAATCTCCCGGTCATGACATCTGATATCTGCATGATAAAAGGCTAGCCAATCCATCCCGAGAATGAGGTCGAAGTCCCTCTTCTCAAGAACATACGCGTCGGTAGACAATGAACGACCACCGATGGAAAGGCTGAGATCTGAAGCTTTAACTGAAGTCACTATCTTTCATCCCGAGGCTAGACTCACCTCGAGAGGATCGACAGCGGTAATGGCATGAACTCCGATGACATCAAGGCATCGTCGTGAAATAAAGGAGTGCGTCGCTCCAGTATCAAATAAAGAGAACACAAGAATATCATTAAGCACAACCATCCCTGACATAGTACCTGGCTGCTTCTCGGCCTCGACCTGATCGACTGCATAGACTCGGGCCTGCTGTCTGCCCCTCTGCTTCTGCTGCTGAGGCGGCCTCTGTGCCTGTTGACGGGTCTGCTGCTGCTGTGGTGGCTGCTGAGGCTGCTGTGGCTGCTGAGGCTGCTGTGGCTGCTGAGGCTGCTGTGCCTTCTTCGGACAACGGTTAGCAAAGTGTCCGGGCTCGTGACAGTAGTAACAGATATCCTGGCCGAAGCGACACTCGCCTCGGTGAAGTCGTCCACATGTGGGGCACTGTGGAACCTGCTGATGTCTCTGTCAGGTCCTCCTGTCAGTCTGTGCGCCCTTTCCCTTCCTCTTGTTGTTCTTCGGTGGCTGGGCAGTGGCTGGTGGCATCGGTGAAGCTGTGGATGACTGAGCGGGGGCGGATGGCTGAGGACGATCACGGACGGCCTCCCTCCTGATGCTGGCGTCCACCTCCTGGGCAATGGAAACTGCACGAGCGTACGTCTGGATCCCGTGACCTACAATGTTATGACGGACTGCTGGGTAAAGCCCGTCAATGAAGCGTTGTGCCCTCTGTGCCTCCGTACGAACCAGGTCCGGAACAAAAGCTGCAAGTCTGGTAAATTCTCTTTCGTACTCGTCTACAGTCCGAGTACCCTGTTTGAGCGACAGAAACTGACGCTCCATCTCTGCCCTGTAGTAGGTGGGGTAGTACTTCTCGCGGATCAGCTCCTTCAGCATATCCACTGTACATCCCGCCTTCTCGTCGGGACGCATGCTCCAGTAGGCATTCCACCAGAGCCGGGCATCACCGGTTAGCTGAAGCTGAGCACAGATTACGTGATATCTGTCTGGACAATCCATGACCTCGAAAATAAACTCAAGGCCCTGAATCCACTCGTCCACGATACGGGGGTCTCCCTGCCCAAAAAATTTCTCAGGATGATAGTCGCGAAACTGTGCGACCACCGTGGCCTGAGGAAGAACCGGTTGAGCGGGTTCCCTACGGGGCGGCATATGATCATTGAAGAAGTTCAAGATTATTGAACACATGAAAAATATATTCTGACTGATTTCTAAAGTACACAGATCTCTTAACGAGTTGCCAAAAATGGCAGAAAATACTGATATAGATCCTGAGGACGTCTAGAGTTATATCTGAGTACACTGAGTTCTAAAGTCTGATCCTGGTTCGAGCATCTTAACTAAGTCATGATTTAATAATTCTGAGCATAGACAATAGTAATATGTTTATAACTGAAAACATAAATCAGCACTTACTTGTAGTCGGCGAGGAGTGAGTGTGACGGTTCAGGTTTTTCTGAAAATTTCTGACTTATAAAACTTTTCAGAGACGCAGAAACGTGCTCTGATACCAATTGTAACACCCCGCTATTTTACTGAAATCAGAGTACGTATTTTTTGCAAATTTTCTGAATAATTTAATAAAATATTTATTTTGCGAAAATTGATTCGGAGTGTTACCGTGAAAATCTGACTGAAAAACCATTAATTTTAAACTTATAATAAAAACGGTTATATAATATTTTAACCGACTAGGTCGGACCAAAAACTGAGTTTAAGTACTGAAAGTTTTAGCGGAAATATAGCGTGGCAAAACATAGTTTATACATAACAAAACAAATGTCCTGAACAGCTCGTCAGCTCACTCCTCGTCCCCGACCCTGTGACCTGAAAAACATGAAATAAGTGGGGCGTGAGCACTATAACACTGTGCTCCGTGGAAACTCATGCTAAAGTAAAAAAGTGAAAATAATAACAATATCATGATCCTGGTATCTATAACTGAACTGAACTAAAACTGATATCTGATACCGGTCTGAATAATCTGATACTGATCTCGTGACATAAGCCACGTGTCTGAAATTGAACATCTGCCGGCACAAACTAATACCGGACACCATATGCACACTCTAGTGGGCAGATTAGGGCCACTAGAACCCAGAATGGACCGGCGGCCATTCCGAGCGGATACTGAATATACATACCTCAAACATGGTAGCGATATTATAATCAATGTAGTACTTAGTCTGAGTC